ATTCGAAGTTGGGAATGTTAGGCACCACTGGTAACTCGCGTCCAAAACGAATTCTGTCGGCGCGCACTCTTTTTATTTTTGACTATGTTTGCACTAGACTTTAGCGCCTCTCAACCGAAATCACTTCTCTCTGAGCTTAATTTCCTTGGACAAAAATGGAAATCCCTTGCTTAACTCATTCATTTTGAGAGGCTGAAGCTCTCAAAATGGCTCGAGTAGTAGTAGTGGGGTAGTTCGCTCCAAAAGTAATCCACTGACAAAACTACTGATGGTTCCCTTATTCGATGGTTTCTTACAGGTAAGCTGATAGCGAGTTTGCCTCACTAACACATTCCAGTATCAGTTTGCCATCGAAACAAATGAACGAGTCGCTGAGAGACTGATTGTGCCGGCGGCAAAATTGAGTCCTCGATCTGCCACTGCATCTGTGACAGTGCTACTTCTCATTGCTCCATGCTAGCTCTAACAGTTTCCTTGAATGTTATATTTTGAGTGTTTTAAATATTTAAATGCTTGAAAAATTTTAATTACTTGAAAATATTTTAACTTAAAAAATTTTAATTATATGGAACCGCAACCGTCGTACTGAAATCCAGTTATATAGCTTAATGAGAATGTACGCCGTGTTTGTAGCATTTCTATTCAGCTGATTATTTTTATTATTAACTTTACTGTTATTAATTACTTGACACATAATTTTAATGAATTTTTGAAAGATCCCAATCTTAATATTTGCCTGTTTTCCTCTTGATTTAATCGCCTAAATACCCATTGGAATGGGCAAACTCGGTGGTATAAAAAGGTAGATCCCGCGGCTTTCACGAGGCTTCTAGGTCCAAACCCCTCACTCTCCCCGTCTCCTTCTCCATTCCTCGCTCCCCGCCTTACTTAGGATGCCACCTCTTCCTCTCTACCTGCTTTTATCCCTCCTCCGTCGTCGGCCCCTACCTCTCGGATGTGTTATACTGCTGAGTCTCTCGATTCCTATCTTTCAAAATGCGCGCGCTTTGGCGGATGTCACGAAAGTCGTTTCTGTTTGGCGGGAACTGGGCAGCTGCTTGTGCATTTGTGCTGCAATTGTCAGCGGCAGCACTTATGAATATTTGGGTTGGTTCGCCGTGCGAGGATTCCGATGGGTTTTCTCGGTGATTTTTTGGGTGGACTGCGATGCTTCGGGTTGCGGTTCCGTCACATCAGTCGGGAGATCAGTTCTTTTGCATTTCGCTTCGATGGTAAATTGGTACTACGTTGCAAGGGACTGCTGCCGTGGAATTGCGAAGATTCTCAGGCGCATATCGCGGGGTGAGGGCTTTTTGGCCGGTCATTGTGTCTGAGCGAATAGTCAGATTCTGCACCCGCTCCCCTTCCTCATCCTTCTCCCGATCCTGCTTCCCGGCCTCCCGCCTCGCTGTTCCCTTAAACAGCTTGTGAGGGAGAGAAGTTCATGTGTGTAGCATACATATTTTGTTTCACGTACCTTTTTGCGTTGAGAAAAAACCCTTGTTCCGGCACAGCATGGGCTTAAACTCAGTCGAAAGACAGGGGAGCGGAGGAAGATAAGGGGTGGGGGGAGGGACTCGTTCGATTTCAGGATCACCGATTGCATCCGAAGTTTCCCCTGTTTCGTGCTTTTAATTTCTCCTCTTCTAATGTGCGTAGTATTTGCTGTCAAAGCTTTCTCACGAGGAACAATGTGTGGGCAACCCTCGCTCACTTCTCCTTGAAAGCACACGTGAGCGCACATGTAACATTACTGAAATTTTTTCAGTTAAACGATTTAAATTATTATTTTTTGAGAGAATAGTTTTACCAGTAACATACGGGGTGGTTAGTGATTTTCCAGTTGTTTTCAAGCAGCGTTGCATCGCCTGGTGGCCAGCTTGCTGTTGATTTTCACGTTCCTTACGTCTCCAGAAGGGATTACCAACTCAGCGGTTCTCGCGCTTTAGCATGTCTCTGATGTCTGCATGTATGTGTGTGTGTATGTGTGTGTATGTGTGTATGTGTGTGTGTATGTTGAGCATCAGCACCTCGATTTCAGACCTGGCCTAAGTGGAGTTGTATAAAAATTGTACCAGCTCTCCAGGCGGGGCGTCGTCGTCCATCTGAAGCAGTGGCCGAAGCAGCTTCATCTCTCGGGGCTTGAAGTTCAGTGTAAGCAGTGATGTCAGTGGAAGAAGGGGGGAATTAGTGCTGCACTGGGAGGCACTCAGTGCACTAATAATACCACCTCTTACCTCATTTTTTTCGGGATCTGCTGCTCGCTGTGTTTGGTTTTTTTTTTTGTTTTTTAGCAAAGCACTTGTTTGTTTTTGTTTTTAGTTCTAGGTATGAAGAAAGTGACGAGCAATCTGTCTGCCTGGTGGAGGCTTCCCTCGTTTGTACCATAGTGCTACGCTTT